GGTGATTTCGACTATTTTGGCGCCGGCGCCCGTGGCGCGGGCGCCAAGAGGTTTCGGGTCGAGCGGATGCGATATTCGTGTTCAGCGGGCGTCCGTAAAACTACCTCTGGAGATAAGTTTTCAGCAAATTCTGCCCACGGAGAAAAAAGTCGGTCAGGAACTGGCCTGATTTCGGATGACTGGGGCAGTAAAGGGTAAATAGTGCCGAAATAAACACCATCCCAATTTTTCGGTGACAAACGAGTCGCGTAAGCCTTACTTTGCAAGAAGATATTCCTTTGTGATGCTGCTTCAAGAGGGATCTGAGTAGAAGAGTTACCACTCCGCAGTCTTGCGATTGAGATGGGTACATTACCATCAGACGCACAGTATGGCGATCTAGAGCCAGAGTGGTCCTTCAAAAAGAATCTCATAAGGGGTCGTAGTTCTCCGCTAATGAGAGAGTTGTATTGGGTTGGCCCATAAGAAATGGCGTTTCTTTCTCACGCAAATTTTTATATGAAAAAATGGTAATTTTTCCCCATGTGTCCTACACTATTCGATAGGTAATTTTCTGCTCTATAAGATAATACAAGCCCTGTACTAACTGCTTTCTTAGTTTTGTCGATTTTTATTCCATTTAAATGGAACGTCGGGTCAACACAAAAGTAAGTTTTCGAGAATGACCTTTTGCACTTTTTCTTCGCTCCCAAATCACAGAAGAAGCTCGAATCTTGTCGCTGTATAGGACCAAGGGAAGATGTCTCTTATAGCAGCCTTAAGTGCTTCAAGCAGATCTCGAAATTGAGGTTTCGGAACCTTGTAGTGCAATTGCTATGGGGGCATCTTAGGCGCGATGGCACTCGCCTTGCTTGAAGATCACTCCTCCGCTGCCCACCTATTTTCGAACGTCTAACATCAACTGAGGGTGATGGTTGATGGTGGTAAGGACCATACCACGACCTCTGAGGATTCTGCAACCTTGCATGAATCTCTATGAATACAGGCCTATCTCAGTAAGACTCTCACTTGGGACTCAATGTAGGCATTAGGATTTGATTGCTTGTCTGTTGTGTCGATATTTGAAAATCTTCCGAATCACCTAAACTATTGCCGAGCATTCTAAGAGTCATAGACTTTTTTGCGGCGTTACTTAGAACCGCGGTTTGTCGCAGTTTTAGCTTCTCATATCAAAGTAAAGAAGAGAGGCTGTTCGAAAGTGCTGGTTTCGTCGACGCCTGAACCACTCCGATCGAGCACTTTGAATATTAGTGGAAATACGAAATTCAAGAAGACTAAGAAAACTGTCGTATAGGGCAAGGAATTCTTTTGAAAACAGTGTAAAAACCAATGGCAAGAGTTTTCATCTTTAGCGCGATATTTCGAGTGAGAAAAAACGTCATTACTTTGGGCCGACCAATCCTTTTTCAATGGGATCGTAGTTACATTGTCGGAACTTTTTCCGAACCCCGACAAAATTTCTCGTTTGTTAACTTTTCCTATCCTTAGTAGTAGCACATAACCGTTGACTTACAGGGCAGTTGCCAGTCTGCCCTAGACCTTGAAGCCGAAGACAAGTCGATTCGACAATTGCCAGGACATTCTATACTTCCTAAGGCGGAGATACTCGTTTGTAGCAGCGTCTCCTGACGGAGCAACCTCACTTATAAGATCTGGATTGGGGCAATTCTTTCACCCAGCGAATCATGCAGTACACCCCTAAGAGATGAAGTTGATCACAATGATTAGACGGCAGCTTTCAGGCTGAAGCTATGTGCGTGATTGCAGCGAACCATCCGCTACCCTTTTGATCTGCTCGCCTGCCTTTCAAGATAGCAACGAAAGTACGCGCATCATTAGGCACAGCATTACTGACTCCCCTATACGATCAGAGTGGAATCAGTTCAGTTACGAATTACGAAATGCCGTACATTTGAATTGTGTGAGTCATTCCTTCAGACTCATGAAATCACTGAACTAATAATGTTCCTGGGCATTGTAGCGTGCTATACTGAGTACTATCACTTGAATTCTTGGATGATCGATAGAAATTTTATTTACTATTCACTACAAAGGCTGTATGGAGTATATAGAAAGATACATACACTTATCAAACATAGGAATACATACAAATTCTCGTGTAAGGTGGCCACTATCTATGTACATACTTTGTGCATTCGATTGTTCGGCCATTCGGGGAGGGTATCATAGTTTACTGATCGTTCTCTTTGTAGAATCTGCGCATTTTGACGAAATTCTGAAAAGCAAGCTTATCAGAATTCGAATCAGAAGCACGGTCATCTTATGAATAGCCTTTTTTTATGATCGTCAGGTCGTTTGGTCCTCGGATGGTGGTATCTTCTGTCAGCAGGTCCTACTCAGTAACTGGACTCGGCCTTGCCGAATTGAGGCTCTTCCTAGAGGGTACACCTATTTGTCTTTTCAGCCAGGTTGGTGAAAAATCACAGTTTTTGCACGGCAGGTTGGTACTAGGTTAGGCCGTGTGGCGCATTGATGATTGCTCTTTGATATCAGGTGGTAATAAGTAATACTAGGTAATACCACCTGGTATCAAATGATAATAGGTGGTAGGATGATAATTGTTGGGTACTATACAGATACTTCAAGTGTACCATAGTGTAATGTCTAAACATCCCATTGTGAAGCATGTGAGAGGCTCAAGTGGGAGGGGTTGCCCTGGTGTTAGCTGTTAAGAGGATGGTGCCTCACAAGTGCGCCATGTTTGAGAATGATCTGAAGGAGTATGGGAGTCAAATTCACTAAATCTGTACTAGTTAATAGATGACCTCACCTGTGGTGTTGTTGTGAAACGGAAAGACGTGTTAGCCGGTATCAGGATGAGATCACCGAATTCGCAGAGAATACGTACCCAGTCACCATTCTAAAAGTGGATTCTATGGCAAGTGATAACTTTCAATAACGGTACTAGTTGATAGTAGTGATAACTACTGATCATTGCTGATAGAGGTGCAATAAACGTTTGGGGCGCTCGTAACTGTAGAGGTGGGCACACGCCACGGGCTATACCCGTCATGTCGGCAGCGTCTGCGCTCTCTTCACGAGATTAGGTGTCGTGTTCCTGTGCTACGTAATGAGTGTCAGTAACGCAGTAATTGTCAGTATGTCAGGAACTATTTAAAGTTGTTTCACGCTCTGAACAAAATCGGTGCCAGGAAGCAAGACATGCCCAGGTCCCTCATCGGTTGTCCATTTTGCATTTGATTTATCGAGACCGAGACGCCGCAACGGCAGCGGAACGTTACCACCATTTGTTATTTGCTTATTTGTTGTTGTTGCTCTTTTAAGGGATAACAAAGCGTGGCATCGTTTTGCTGCTATAACGGGTTCGACTCCCGCCGAGAAAGGCTTCGAAGGCATAGACAGATGGTAAATTCTTCAGTCAACAAAAGGTGGAAAAGTTGTAAAAAAACAGCCTCAGTGCTGAGATTCCGAAAAAGAAATAGTCAGTGCCATAAACTGCCCCATACCCCTTGAAAAAATTAGTTAGGAGCGAAAGAAAAGCACATGAACAATGAAAGCTTGCAAAGCTTTGAAAATTTCTCCGCGTACGACCCATTTGATTATCTCTCACATTCGGGCTAAGACCAATCCTTGCCCCTACAGTTGCTTTAAAATATCACATATCGTTTGGTGGTCTCTTTCTAGTGATGCCGTTGTCAATAGTTACGTTCTGATAAAGGTCGGAGATGGAATACCAGATTTTCGATCGGTGAACGTTGATTGTCAACTGGTGCGTTATAAACCCAAGGTCATTTCGATTTCTGTTAAGGGAGCATGCCCCAACCAGAAGAGTCTCCCTCAGGAACCCGGTGCAGTTCGGCTAGGTGAGGGCATTTTAGTGGCTTCCATCGACCACTTCCGATGCCACCTGGGGACAGTTGTAAATTACTGTAAGGCTATGCAATAGCCAAATTTTGTTTGCACTTGAGACTGGACAAACCATGTGAAGAGGATTTACAGAAGTCCCCTCATCTTCTGACTTTCCATCCTAAAACATGTATGGCCTTGAACAGGCTTGAAAAATGTGAGCTTGCAAGGCGGTGGGAGAAGAAGCTCAGAAAGTATGTCGTCAACGCAAAGGTTGGTCAAATATATGAAGAGATGGGGTTCAGAGGAGTGTACAAAACCCAGACCCGCAGTTTCACGCCAGTGAGCACATAGGGTTCTGCTGGAAAGAAAGAAAAACGATTGAGGGTAACGGATGCGGGTGGAGTGCATTAGAATGGAGAGTGTGCTTTTCAGGCCGATGTTCCTAAGTGGTTTCAAGGCCAGTTGAAGCTGACTTTTATTAGCAATCAGCTTCAACTGGCCTTGAGAACTAGCGAAATCTTTACCCTTGTTACGGTTGACAACGTTTGCATTCTGTCGCTGTTCTATTACATTTCCCATTATCGTCAGGTCATCGAATGGGAGTTGAGTTGAGTAAGCTTGGTTTTTTTTTCATTGAATCTATTCTTTTTGAACTGCTTTAAGATTTGTACTACTGTGCAGGTGAGTATTCTCATAAACTGACTCCAACTCCTCTGATTGACAGCCTAATCGGGCGGACAGGTGGAGCCTTCAGGTTGGCATACCGTATGCATAGTGCCTGAACTGCCCTTTAGGCAGCTTTCTGAGCACCTGGAGCCAAAGGAAAACTTGCAGTGGACTCGACCTCTTCAACTGCTAGTATGAGGCAGGAACTGGGAAAGGTGGATGGCAACTTTGATCATGATTCTCACTGGAATGAGCGCGCCGCTTGAGAGGTGCTGCTGAAGGGTGCCTATTGCTCTGCTGTTTTGTCCAAACTCAAGGGAGCTCCGCATGTCATTACTAGCTGATGGCTTGGTTTACTATATCCTATCTAATACTTAATAGTGCCTCTGATGTCGTTACTCCCCCCCCCCCTTGCTCGACGAATTTTAGAAGGATGGTTGTTGTATTGAGCAATTTTGATCGCTTGATGCCTTGGTTTAATAGATGCTCGTGCAGTGGAGATGTCACTTCAACGAACAGCAACCCCTTTCCTTTTCATAGCGCTTTTTGTTCCTTTTCATAAATTCGTGAGAGACGGAACAAACTCTAATAAAAAAAGGTACCTTATCCTCAACATCGTAATATGCCGAGCCATCGATAATCATTCTTGCCTGATCTTCGGGGTGATTTGACTCTTCAAACAGCTCGTCGATCTGAAAAACATTTTTTTGTTGTTTTCCATTGTATATAAACGGATGGTCTTCCTCGAAAGGGATGTCCGACTGTTCGATTAATTATAGGCACAATTCACGCTGATCCTAGATGGGGACATGGGCGGAGACAGACAACATTGTGCTCACCAATGGCGCGTTCCTCCCCTCTTAGGACGGTAATGACAAGAGGCGCGTCAGTGAGGGAAGCAGGAAGGTTGATTATTTCCTCCCATCAGCATAGACCGTGTCATTCGGTTTTTTTGTTTCTCTCCTACTTTCTAATCTTGAGCATCGTCTCAGGATATCTCTGAATTCCTTACCTTATCTCTGAAGTTAGCGGTGGTCTCGGCGTCAAGTGTGAAAATGTCCTCCTTGTTGAAATTCCTCTCTTTTTTCATGATCATGAGTCGTTTCGAAAGAGCTACTTGATCCAATGTGTCAAGCTAAATCGAAAAAAAAACTCAGCGCATGTTGCTCAAGCGCCTGAAAATAGATGTGGATAAGGTGCGAAAGCGTAATGTAGCCTTATACCTTCCAGTAGAGTGTTCCTGTCCTCTTCGACAACTCGTCCGGTGTGATGATCTTAGGTGGAAACATATGATGAGGTAGTCTTGGGTCACCACATGGGTACGGTTCCATCTGCCAGATTTGTACCATTTTCCCCTGGAAAATATCATGTTTGAAAACGAACGAACTGAAAGGAATCATAAGATTTCGCAACGACAGCGATTCTTCTAAGTAGTAAATAGCAGTGAGCTAGAGGTTCGGAGATATGGTAACCCAAATCATCGAATGGGATTCTTCATAGGGCTAAAAGTTTGGTCTAAGACTTTATAAGGCGTTTACTCGAATTATACCCGCACGCTTGGCTCTTGAACATAAAGGGTAAGGGCCAGGGCATTGACGACCCATTAGTGTGATATTCGAATCTCGCCTTGCTAGGAGGGGTCCACATTTGTGGGGAAACGCTGGGCAACAGTTGAGATATTTGCTAATTTTTGCTGTTCCTTATTCATCAATCTGCAAGAGATTTTTGGATTTCGGAGGTGAATCAGGGCACGTCCTGCATGGAGGAGAATATGGCAAAGTAAGACTCCCCTCCCCTCGAAACTTCCTCCACTGTTACAGTCCCCCCTTTCCTAATCATCATCCTACCCACCATCTCCCTAAACTCTCCCGCTAATCCCCAAAATCTGTAGTCGAACGAAGTAGAGGAGGTGAGAGTTCTTCACGAAGGCAAGTACGAGCCGATCCTCCCACCCCCATCTCCCTTAGTGGCCAAATGCGAGCCCCTCGCTGAGTCGAATACGCCAGGCTCAATTACATCTACTATGTGATGATGGGAAGGCTGTGTTCAGATACATCAGAAATAGACAAAGAACCTGGAAAGGGTTAAAAAAAACCTGCTACCAGAGAGAAACGAAATGACAAGCAAGAGTCTGCTGGATCTGCAAACAACAGAGCTCGTAGTACATGGGTAAAGTAACCTTACCCACGCGCCACCTCCAACTATACGACTCGTGATTTTTGTTAACGAAAGGACAGACAGGCCCGGGACGAACTCCCGTACCCGGTTCACGATGTTTACAACAATTCGCGATGAGAAACGTTAGATGCCCGTGGGGGTGTGGCAAGGGTCACGTCGTCGTGCCTGCCGAGTCGCGCTGTAAATGAAAACCATTGGCAGTTTTACCGCAACAGGAACATTTCGCCATTATGCGACGAGTAAAGTTCGTTGACTGTATCGTATTGTCGGCAACTGCTATAAACGATGGCGTGAACGATGAAAACTGCTTGATTGTGGCTGATTGGAGTCACTTCCTGGGTCTGCTTGTGCAGTAAAATAGGGCTACTGACGTCATTTGCAGACGCTTACAAAGCTGCTCCTTAGGGAGGTTTTCGAGAAAGAGACCGGAATCGAGTAGAAGAGTTACCAGAACCCTACGATTTCTTAGTTATACAAGGTTTTCGCGTAAACACAAACGGTTGTATAACCAAAATAAAGGGCGTTTCCTTGGTGGTATGTTGCGCTAACGTCCTCTATTCTGGTAGCTGAAGCTGGGAGTTGGTTGATTAGCAAGCGGACCATATGCCACGGGTCGATGAATGGCCAACTTGGATCTCCTAAGGCATTTGGCATCTGAGCACGTAACTGTATAGTGTCCCAATAGCCTAGATTCGTATGGGAGCCTCTTTCTGAGCCAAAGGAGAAGGCGCGCTGGGAAGTGGCAGAGCAAAACCACTCCTTGACAGGTGCTCTGTTAAGTTCCAACCTTTGTGATGTCTGTCTTGGCATCTGATCAATAGGATTCACGGGGTGCGCAAGTGAAAAATCGTCTGGTCTTTGTCAAAGATCGCAACTGTCAAAGGCGAAGATTTCGCAAGGAGGGGGGGGGAAGGGTGCACTCAGAAGCGAACTTTGGACCGCCAGCCGCTCGAAAACTCCACTTCGGTCCCACAGTCGCGCTGGATTCCAGGAACTGCGTGCATGGCATCGCACTTCTAAGAAGTCCGCATCTAGTTGGTATACTATCGATATTGCAGATTTGGAGAATTGTGATCGCCTTGGAGTGGCAATTAGCCCTGGAGCGCAGCAGGACAAATCTCAGATCTGATCTAGAAGATCAGCGAATGAGGAGGATGACAACAGCGCTGCACCACTTGCCGCAGAATTAGCTGACTTCAAAACTCGCATGGTCATTTGTTCGCCGGAGTCTCGAAGTATGAACTTTAGAAGGAAGCTTGTCTTAATAAGCTGGACGACGATAGGTTTCTGTTCCATTGGAATTTCGAACGTTCTCTAACGAGAATTCGGAAGGAAGTCATAAATGTGGCTTCACTGGACGAGAAGACCTTTGTCAGGGCACTTTGAAGGAATGAATCCCTTGGTATCCAAAGCGTCCCCCTCCGCAAAATCTGCATAAAATGCCTTCTTGTTTCCATTGTCTTTCGAACGTTCTGCGAACTATCAGGTCACCGCTGAAGTTTTGCAGTCATTAAGCATGTGTGATAGGGTGATAAGCAAGCTTTTTGGCAACTATTCGGTGTTGGGCGGCAGTGAAACGCCCTTGAAAACTGGATTGGACGAGCCATCACGTTGAAAGTCAAAGGCGAGAAACACTGGTGGCAAGTTGTACAGCTACGAGATTCGGCTTTCGCCTTTCTTCGGAGAACGCCATTTTTTTGTAACGCGGTTTTCAAGGGGAAGCTACGTTTTTCAAGAAATGCATGATGGAACATGTATAGCCTAAGATTGGGTTCTGGCCGTAGATCTTGAGGACTTCGACAACGAATGAAAAAATCGAAATACTCCAAAGAGTTGTCATGAACTTTGAGAGTTTGAGCCGTGACTTAGAGAAACTTTAGAGTGTGATAGAGCGAGTTCAGATACGGAAAATACTGTAGTTCGAAAGTCCTGGCTTATTTGCGGCTGTGTGCTTTATCAATCTAGCTGTTTCGCACTAGAGAATGAGGTGGCCTCGCTGTGGGCAGGAACAACAAGAAAGCAACTATGGGACCAGCTCCATGTTCCATGGCTCCAGGGCCTTCTAACTTACACTTGCTATCGGAAACCCATGGCCTAATCAAACGAAATGCCAAAGGCTTAGCAATCTCCGCCCTATATGTCGCTCCCTCTACTTTGAAGGCAAACAATACACTCCCTCCGTGGATCTTGTTCCTTGCCATGCGTGGGGAGAATGGGTCTGTCTCTACAGTACCGTGCATCCTCCTCCAGTGAAAACTGCACAAAAACGGAACTGGAGGGTAGTGATACCTGGCTGTTGGCTCCATAGACCGCCTGCCTTGCCACACGGTCAGCCACTCTCCTAACCACCATAGCCAACTGCGCCACTTGTCTGCGCCCTCTTGTTCGTGATTGTTCTCTACCACTGAGCACGTGCCCCACTGCAAGAACTTGGTATCGACGCAAGTGCTGCACCTTGAGGACAGGGTGGGCAGACTATAGGTGCGGCACTCGGTCCCCCCACAGTTCCGTTCCCGCACCGTTTTGAGTGGAGAAAGTGGCACGCCGTTACAGCTGTGGGCCTAGCATGGCAAGGGGCAGATGAGTGTAGAAAATGTGTTCGTGAGAATGACAGAAGCAGAACATAGGGTGAAGTGGTGAAGTGGAATCTCTGAACGACTCCTCTCCCAGCAAACCGAACCCTCCTCACTTACTGGTCCATTGTTTGGTAGACTCGCACTGGTTTGTGCCATAACTTAAGCCAGCGTATAAGTCAAATGACCCGACGGTCCTGAACGGCAGCAGAGTGCATGGCGCTTCCTAGAAGGGATCAACGGAGAACTTTTGAACAATTCCTCGTTATCCTTTCGTACAATGACACGATACTAGCAATAACGATGGGATAGAGAAAAATAGCTCCGTAGGAAAATCTGACCTTAAAAGAA